GTTTTCTTCTAAAGTTAAATCAAATAAAAAGTTAATATGTTCAGTGAAAAGCTGCAATAGCACTTCAGACATAGATCTTCACTCTTCACCTACATTAACTACTTTCCAATAAAAACTAACCGTTTTATATATGTAAAAAATATATTCGGAAAATTAGAGAAAAAAGTAAACTAATAGAAGTTTGGATGAAAGCAGTAGGTGTCAAAAAAGTGAATTCCGGAATAAAAATTTGTTCACGTCATTTTAATGCACATGATTATATTTCAGCAAGTATCGTATTTACCATCTGCCGTAACCTTAATATATAAAACTAGAATCATACTAAAATTATATAGTGAGAAATTATTTATTCCTGTGTAATTGATTTAACACAATTCTAATGATACGATATAAGTATTTTGAGGTTAAGAACCTACCTGCTGCAATACAACAAAATGGCAATAATGATTGATATGATATTGCTTAAATCACCCAGAATCACCTCATCAATTATATAACGTGAATCACTTTTTAAATGCGAAGTTTGTAAAAAGTAGGCAGTAAACTTGACGGAATTTGTTATTTCCGAATTTTATAATGTGATTGGCGTTAAAAACACGCTCACCTTCAACGAAGTTTCCTTTCCGAGTCTTTGTGTCAACCCAATCACATATTGTGTCAATACCTATCATTTTATCGTAATTTAAAAACTTGGAAATCGCACGGTACACTATATAAATTAACTACGATAAATTTTCCCTAATCGGCGCCATTTTTTAGGCTCCTCCCATTTGACGGATCCCAATAGCGTCAATTTAATTTGTTTTCGTCGTCATCATAGGGTCATCAGTCCTAAGACTGGTTGGACACGCATCTCCACCATATATCACCATCATTTTCCGTCGCCATCATGGGGTAGTTGAATGTCCAATGGACACGCACCTCCACGTCTTGCTAGCCTGAGCTTTTGAATTTCCCGAAAACTACAACATTTGAGCATCCCTTAATACAGCATCCTACATTCCTAATAACTATTAGCAAACAATAATCCAATGAAGGTCTTCCTTCGCCTTCTCTTTACTCTTGCTTCATCTTCTAGCACATCTCTTGTCGTCTGTTGGTGTCTATCTTTTCTTTTCTTTATTGTTATTCTTCTACATAACGCCCTTTCATATTCAACTCTTTATAACGTTCACCGTCTACTTTTCGCACTCGTGCAGAGCCGTACTCAATATATACTTTTAACAATTTTCTTCCAATTTCTAAATTAACCGTTTTCGAGTATAACGGTGACTTCTTTTTGTTAAAAGTGGCTTATTTGCGCTATTCTTTGATCTTTACTTATCTTCTACTATAAATTATATTTTCGAGAACGGTGAACTTTCGATAGGCCAAACATTTATTTACTTTTCTTGTTTTACAGTGCTCTATGGGCTCCTGCAAACTCCGCACCCTCTACACCCTGTCGAATTTCCTACATATAAAAAATAATACCACGGAAACAAAGTCCTGATCACTAACATCTTCTTTCATATATGTATACATGTATATCTCTACTGCGTTTTCTTGCGTTGCAATGTCTTATTTTCCTGCGTGACACTACCAGGACCGGACTGCCTCTTGCCTGTACTTTCAAATGCGTTTTTCTCGAAAACGGTGAACTCTGCGACCACCAAACATTCACTTAACTTTCTTGTTGTGTGGTGCCCTGTCAACTGCTGCACCTTTCACACGCTCTATAGCTTCTTATAATAAAAATAGTGATCCTACTGATCAATAGCAATGTTACAACTTTTATTTTTACACCTTTTTCAAGCTGTTTTGAGCCACGGCTGTTTGCTCAATAACCGATTAATGTGCCCAGAGAAGTGCATATACAATAATCACATGTTTTCGTAATGAATATTCCACGTACATACGTTTGCGGTTTAAGACTGCGCGCCCACGTTAAGTTCTAATTGAGTTAACAGACAGGAACCGCGAGAACCATCAAGAAACTATCGGATGGTTAATGCTCGCGACGCATGCTGCACAATGCACCAGCGACTATCAGATAAAATTACGATTAGTCGTTGTATGTCACAGCACCAACAGCGATATACGTTTACATTTGTGCCCCGAATGAATACATGCCACACTCATTATTTTGGTTGGTTCGTTTATCAAGGGACAAAAATTAAATTTTTAAGCAGATAGATACCTATCCGACTTGAATATTAAACACGAAGGTCGATTAAGGCAAACAATTTCATAATTACGAAGAGTCCACTACATTTTCTCTACAAAAGGACGTAGTCTCACACTTCCTGTAAGTCTATTCAGAATAGTCAGTCATGTAACAATCATTACAAAAATCTGTCTTAATACGTCCCTGAATCGTCTAACAACAAGACAATTAGTTCAGTTAGAGTGGGCTAGGATAACCCCACACTTTCTTTTATTGTTAAAACAACTACCAGAACCCAGAACGCACACAGAGATTGTTGATACACTATAAGCAGTAGCGAACAGGCAGTGAATAGTTCTGCATTTATCCAGTTATTTTATGCGCAACACTTTTTAGTAAACAAAGGAATACGATGTAGTTGTTGGAAAATAAAATACATACATAACATTCAACAAGTATGTACGAGGGTGGATTGATAAGTTTCCGGCCTAACCAAGAGATGACGCCACTAGGCCTACCTTGAGGTGACATTCTATAGTACCATCCTTGGATAGCTTGTAGCTATAGTTTCAGCCCGATCTCCTTGCTAGTGTAGGTTTGACAGCACGCTGAACAAGACGCCTCTGTGGTTTTCGTAAAAATGGAAAAGCAGGAAAATCGTGCTGTCATCAAATACTTTTATTTGAAGGGGTTAACGCCGAAGGAAATTAAAAAAGAGATGGACTCAACACTGGGGACATCCTCCCCGTCATATTCAACCGTTAAGCAGTGGGTTTCCGAGTTTAAAAAGGGTCGTGTGAGCACCTCTGATGGGCCTCGCTCAGGACGCCCCGTTGAGGTCACAACTCCAGATATGATCGAAAAAATTCATCAAATAGTGCTGGGAGACCGCAGATTGAAAGTGCGTGAGATAGCTGAGACCTGTAAGATGTCATATGAACGTGTGCAACATATTTTGCACCAACATTTGCATATGGAAAAGCTCTGTGCAAGATGGGTGCCGCGTTTGCTAACAGTCGACCAAAAATTGATTCGAAAAAACATTTCTACCGCAAATTTGTCATTGTATAAGCGTAATCCAAGCGAATTTTTGCGTCGATTCGTAACCGTTGACGAAACGTGGGTCCACCACTACACTCCTGAAACCAAAGAACAGTCTAAACAGTGGATTGGACCAGGGGAACCAACTCCAAAGAAGGCAAAAACAATTTTTTCGGCGAACAAGGTTATGGCTACTGTTTTTTGGGATGCAAGAGGTATTATATACATTGATTACCTTGCAAAGGGTAATACTATCACTGGTCAATACTACGCAGACTTATTGCAACGTTTGAGCCACGAGGTGAAAATTAAACGACCTCATCTGGCGAAGAAAAAAATCTTGTTTCATCACGATAACGCACCAGCGCACACGTCAATCGTTGCGACGGCTAAAATCAACGATCTAAAGTTTGAATTGATGCCGCACCCTCCTTACTCTCCAGACCTAGCCCCGAGTGACTATTTTCTGTTCCCTAATCTCAAAAAATGGCTTGGCGGTAAGAGATTTGCGGACAATGAAGAAGTAATCGAAGCTGTAAATGGTTATTTTGAGGAGCTTGACGAATCAGTCTATAGAGATGGCATTAATAGACTGGAACACCGCTATGAGAAATGTATCAGCCTTGGAGGAGATTATGTTGAGAAATAAAAAAAAAAAATTTTTAAAAACCTTGTTTTTCTTGGTCAGGCCGGAAACTTATCAATCCACCCTCGTATTGTAGCAGTAACTGTTTCCATATTTCTCACATCATCTATCGATAATAGAAATTATGGTATAATGCGTGCTATTTTTGTTTGAATGTGTTGCAACAAGAATAAGTGCACTTTCAATTTCCGGTGACTTAAACTTGTGAATCGTTTCTCGTATATTTTGCTTTCGTCGGTCTTCTATCTTATCAAGGGGGAGAGGTCATGATTACAAAATCTGAATCGTCTTGACCATATATAATCATCATCGTACATGCATATGTACATAAATGCCACTTGGCTTCAGTCAAAGTGAGTCAATAAACTTGAACATCAAGAAATATTTTATTTTGTAGTTGATTTACATACGTACGTAGCCAAAATGGTGTCTCCAATTGCATATTTAAATTTCGGTGTTCTGTGTCTGGCCCAAACGTGTTATTACAAACAAGTACACTTGTCTTATGGAAATAATGTAAGCGAAGTTATTGTAACTTATTCAACGTTCGACACAGTTTCCGTCTTGCAACCTACCGTTTGGTACAAAGAAAACAATACGGACGATAAGTATCGGCAAGTCTTTGGGACTGCTTCTCTGTTCGTGGATGGAGGCCCCAAAAAACACAAACAATTTATTTCAAGGGTTAAACTGACGAATTTGAAACCTGATACATCCTACCGTAAGTAGAAATAATTATATTTTGCAGAAAACACTCTCGAAAAGCGTAAGAGAAGTTGAACACGCACCTTGATAAGAATTCTGAAAAAATTAATTTTGCAGAAAATATTATGGTCAAAAACTTTTCTGAAAATTTAAACATTTTTGTTCATTAAGATAACCGGCAGTGATGCTATTCAAAAGTTATGAATTTCTTTTCCAAACTCGTAATTCACACCCCCACGTTGTTACTAATTATAATAAAATAAAAAGGGACATAATTGGTAAGGGGGCCAAGATGCCCAAAGGGCTGCGGCCTTTGGTAACAAGATATGATGCACTAATACTAACAAAATACTAACCAAAACCCTGTCGTGGAACACACTCTCGAAAAGCATAAAAGAAGTTGAACACGCATCTGAAAACAATAATTTTGCAGAAAATATTATAAGAAATTTATACCTATATATAGGTTAGTGATTGTACCAAAATCTAATATTGGTAAAAAACTTTTCTGAAAATTTAAAGTTTTGTTCCAATAAGATAACCGTGAGATTGGTGAAGCTATTCAAAAGTTACGAATTTCTTTTCCAAATTTTAACTCGTAATTAACCGTGAGGCTGAAAATTATTGTGAATAAAAAGTTGATCAAATAACTTCTTATGTTGTTACTAATTATAATAAAATAAAAAGGGACATAATTGGTAAAGGGGCCAAGATGCCCAGATGGCTATTGGACTGCGGCCTTTAGCTCAAATTGTAACAAGATATGATCCACTAATACTAACGAAAACCCTACCGTTCAATATAATATAAATACATGTAGAGATAATTTAGAATAGCATGAACCTTTACCAAAACTACGACGTTCCATGATTTGTACATTTCTACTCCTAAAAAAAAATTGACTTTCACTGTTTACAGTTTATTTTCAGCTTCATTCTTGTTTGTATTGTAAAGCTGATGATTAAGTAACAACAGACTCATTATTCTCATAATCTACAACAGAGCTGGGCAAACTCGGCTCTTTTGACTCCCGAGTGCTCCTCAAGGTTAACCAAGTAGCTCCTCATTGATCCTGCGAGTGCGAGTGAGATGATTCTTTCCTTTTCTTATCCCTTCCATTTCGTAGATGAGTCCCCTCTTCCATAGCCAAACCCAATAGTTTTGCGAACGTAGTAACGAAAATTTTTGTAGGTATTATTTAAGTTGCGAGAGTGGTTTCGCTCGTCTACGGGATGAAGGGGCTTGATATGGAAGTGGAAGGGAGAAAAAAAAGACAAAACAAAATTGTTCATTACTGCTTACTCTCTCGTACTCATTGAAGGGTATGGAGTGACTCAAACTAACCTCATGTAGCGGCTCCTGCGAAATTAAAGTTTGCCCGGTTCTGATCTACAACATGAATGCGACATTGAACCCAAAAAAATTAACTTCAATCTAAATTAGCTTCTACCACTAATCAAAGATTCGTTTCAGTTTATTATGTTCGATTGGTGAATATGAGTAGACAGGCGTATTCGTTCAGGACACCGAAGCCGAATCCGTCTCTGGTAATATTTGGCGATTTGGGTAAAGAAAATGCCCAATCGCTGGATAGACTGATCAAGGATACACAGTCCGGAATGTATGATGCAGCTTTGCATGTAGGGGACTTCGCTTATGACATGGATTCGGTATGAAATTGCAACGCTATTTATTCTTTATCGTGCGTCGAAATGCAAAACAATTAAACGAAGCCAATCTCACATTTCATTCCATAACATATACACAGAGTACATAACTACTTGCATTCTTTCAGGATAACGCGGAGGTTGGTGACGCATTTATGCGACAAATAGAACCTGTAGCTGCTTACATTCCGTACATGACTTGCCCAGGGAATCACGAGGAGAAGTAGTAAGTAAACAAAATAGCAAGGGCAATTAAAGAAGGTTCATAGGACTAACTTTCATCATCATAAGGTCGTCAGTCTTATCTCAACTCCTTCCTATCCTAATAGCTAATCTTCGCATTTCCCTAAAACTAGAACAACCCAAATCCTTAACTATTTGCGAACAGTAATCTACCTCTGCCCCTCCTTATTCCTGTTTCTGCCTCTAATATGTCCAGACTAGACGTTCATGCCTGAGAAGGTGCCCTATCAAGAATGGATCTTCTTTCTTGTTTCCACTTGAGAATCCAGTCATTTGCTGCGTTTTGAACACGCCCTAGTTAAGTTGGGAAATGCTTCACGAGTAGTAGAGACAAAATGAAAAGAGATAACCCAATAACAGTAAGCGGTGCAGCGGTTAGAGGTTGCTTAGGTACGCAAAAGATCAGGGTCGGCTTTATAACTGCCTGGTTGGAATTATATCTTTAAACAAGCGTTTTTGCTTTCCTAAATTCTTGAGAACGTTGAAGTCCGATACTGACAACATGCTCAAATTCTGATTGTCTGCATCTCTTTCTGTTACACATCAGTTGATTTTCTTTATTAGTGTCCGCTGCAATTCCTACCTGACATCTCTTATCTATGTTTACGGTATCCCATACAACGTCTGTCGTGAGTAAAACCGGTCTAGTCTAGTTAATGAGAGATGAAAATGGTATACTTCATTTACTTTCTCTAGCGATGTGTTCCTTCCAATGTCTTGGATGCGCGCTGGCAAAATCGTAGGTAGGGAGAAAAAAGCTCATTATACTCTCGACTCTTGTTCATTAAACATACTTTTTCATACAGTACCTGCCAAAAGTTTTGTTCAATCATGAATAGGAGTGTGAGTCGAAAACAATCGTTAAAGCCTTTAGTATGTCTTCAAATATAAATAAACATCTCGTTGATATTTTCAGTAGTAAATGGTACCAATAACAGCACATTTGAGCAATGCAATTGTAGTGGATAAAATGGTCAATTTTTCCGTGCAGTACTGTACGGATTATACGCTCCTCACCGGTTAAGAGTTTGGCCGAGAGTTGTCTCCTTCCTTTTCTGGCCTAGTGCTGTTCTTTTCTACGTTGCGCCGGTCAAACTGAAGGTCACATCGCTACAGAAAGTAAACGATGTATAAAGTATAAAGTTTTATTTATTGATCAGTCCTCAGAAACAGCACAGGTCATTTGTCGAAACCCAAGGGCTTGTCCATTTAAATCTGCTAGTTATAATTCTGTTAAATACCTACTTACAGAAGGAAAATCATTTTATAAAAGTATTTTTTCAGTAATTTCAGTAACTACCGAAACCGCTTTTCTATGCCTGGTGGCAGGGACATTCCCTACTACAGTTTCAATCTTGGAAATCTACACATCATCTCTATATCCACAGAAGTATATTATTTCATCAATTATGGCATCAAAGAAATGGTTAATCAATACTATTGGTTAGAAAGTGATCTCAAGGAAGCTAACAAACCCGAAAATCGTAAGAAACAGCCCTGGATAATAATCATGGGACACCGACCGATGTACTGCACCAACGATAATCCAGCAGACTGCAAAAGACACTCCACGTTCACCAGGGTAGGAATTCCCTACTTTCACATATTTGGATTGGAGCCGTTGCTTTACAAATATGGTGTCGATTTGGCCATTTGGGCTCACGAACATTCTTACGAACGTTTATGGCCTATATATAACTATCATGTTTACAATGGTAGCATTGACGAGCCCTATAGAAACCCCATGGCTCCGGTACATATAACTACAGGGTCAGCTGGGTGCAAAGAGGGAAGATCGCCCTTCAATAACAACACCTGGCCGGCGTTTTCGGCTTTTAGGAGCAGTGACTATGGATACACAAGATTCAAATCCTACAATAACAGCCACGTTTACTTGGAACAAGTATCTGACGACAAAAATGGAGACATCATCGATTCCTTCTGGATCATTAAAGAAGGAAAGAATGGACCCTACCCGAAGTTCTATAATTCTTCCATGGATTAATTATTTTTGGCATTTTTTAATACATACGAAAGTTTAAAATTTATGTTCTAAGACCATATGTGTAATTTAATATAAAAATATAATTTGTTTGTTAAATTTTTGTTGTTTATTTATTCAAATTTTTGCAATAAATAAAACATACTGCTTCATATATTACTTTCGTAAGAGTGTCCAAATTTGTTACCGATGTAGGTCACATAGAAACAACAACATAATTGGAGATTATCCTTAAACATGAAAGTCCATAAAAATCACAAAAACGTCTGTTACAAGATGTAGTACACAACCTTGTCAACTATTTTTTTGTTTTTGTTTAACGTTTCTAGGCTGTCAGTGGCGTCTTGATTCTGAGTTTCACAACAACAGTTAGCCCAAAAAAGTCTAAACAAAACACTTTACAAATTGCACAACAAAATCAGATTTTATCTTTGTTTTGAAAGCGTTTCGTCCATATGAATTGTTAATTTTTAATGTCGTTGTAGTGTTTCGTAAAAATTACAGATGCGCGATCTGATAGCGACCGAGACGCCCCTTAATGCTATTGCTCAAAACTGATTTGGTAATTTCGAGACACTCGTTGTAACAATTCTTTATTGTAACAACAAATGTATGTAGGTACTCCATCTCATAGCGAAAATTAACGTACATTTGTGCAGATAGAAATGACATAAGCGAGAGAAATTAATTTAATGACTCGAAGTTCGTCATTTAAATCAGAATGTTTTTAATATTCATGGATTGGAATAGCTCCTGAAAGCATTTAACCTACTTAAGTTTTAAAAAAATTATTAGAGATTTTAATACCTATCGAAATTAGTTAGCTACTAGTTCAGGTTATGTTAGAACTCGAAGTCAAATTTTCATTATTGTCGATTGTACATGTATTATAACTCAAATGTTGTTTAGGTAAATGGGTCACTCAAACACCTACTATAGGTTTTATGTATTATACAAGTCTCATTGTAGAATATGATCAAGAAATTCAATTTTCAGCTGATGGATTGTAAAATTTTTCATTTGACAATTTAACAATTAAATTAGTCATAAAAATCATTAAAACACCCTCTGTTTATTAATGCCTAATTATATTAGATTTTTAAAATTGACTAGTTTTAAGAAATTTTTACTCATTATCATCATAAGGTCGTCAGTCTTAAGACTGGTTGGACACGCACCTCCATTCCTTCCTATCCTGACCTAATCTTCGCATTTCCAGAAAACTAGAACATCTTACATCTTTAACTATTTGCGAACACAAATCTAATCTAGGTCTACCTCTGCTCCTCTTAACTCCTGTTTTTGCCTCTAATATGTCTCATGATCATACTAGAATTGCGTAAACACACAAACTCTGATTCTTAGTTTACTAACGTGTTTTATTCATTTTATTCACAGAAAGCATTAGTTTTATACATTTCCTAGTACAATATCGGAATTTCATACAATTCCTAGGAAATATATACATTTCCTAGGATAGGTGTGTGTTAAAAAATCTTTGAAACAATATTTTATTGTATACAATTCCCAGATTTCATACCTTTCCGGTATCATATGTAGGATAAGGTTGGGTAAATCGTACCATAATCTAAATCGTACCACCGTTACTTTTCATATTTAGGATGCATATTGTGCTATCTTGTGTACAAACTTAAAATCTATTATTCGATACAAATTAATGCAGATGTCATGTTTTTTGGAATGACGGTTGTATTTACGAATATGGTGGATAATGAAAAAGGCAGTTTACGGGTGTAATATTTCCTTGTCGTGTCTAAGGCTTTATTTAATACTAGGTAAGTACAACACGATGTATTTTAGTATGCACTGATTTAATAGCAATTTATTGTCAACCACACACTAAAAGAAGATTAAAATATGCTGTACAAATGTTTTGTTCTAACTAAGAAAACAAAACGTAGAAGTCCGATAAATCGTACCGACAAACGTTGTTAAATCGTACCGGTACGATTTACCGGCCTAATACTTGTGTTTATGTGTTTTTATATTAAATTAGAATTGAAAACATTTCTTGTAGGGCCCAATGGTCTGTTATTTAATATTAAACTCATTAATACCGGTTGTCTTAAAAATAGCACATATCGCATTTGATTTATCAGACTGTTGTTGTACATAGGTACAATATAAAGCTGTAGTGGCAAACAAAAGGAAGTACCATCATTTGCGTTCACTAAACAAAGTAGCCAACGAAAAAAACATGAACTACGGCCGGCTAACAGTATTGGACAAGGATTAGCACATCTTATAAAATTAGAAGTTTCTCTATTTAGAAGCTTCTCTGTTTGGTATAACTCCTGCAGATGTTCGTCGCCTCACATTTCAAGTTGCTGAAAAGAACTATTCCACATAGATTCAACAGAGAAGCAGGACTAGGTCCGAAAAATTGGTATTAGAAATTTATGAAACGGCATCCCTTTTTGTCTTTGAGACTAACAGAGAAAGTATCTATTTCTAGAGCTTTAAGCAAAGCGTCTCGACCAAAAACAATTCAAATAAAACTGAACACTAAAGATTGGTATTGCCTAATATGCGAAAATACTGCTATTGAGGATATAGTGCAGTGTCAAAATTGCAAGCTGTGGGTTCATGAAAACTGTGCAGGTTCTGGGAAATCTTTAAAAGAATATATTTATGTTAATTGCAAATAAACATTTAGTTTCTTCCGTAAAACAAGTTTTAGGTACGATTTGGAGACATAGAGGTACGATTTACCGAATAAGTTTGCCAAATCGTACTGCTCGAAGGGTTTAAGTTTTATTAAGTTTTATATATGTTGTAAGTCTTATATTTAGGTTTTCTTTTGCCAATAAGCAAAATAAACTTCTTTTTACTCAGAAATGCTTTTACTAATTCTTAATGTAACAAAATAAAATTTAAATCCATGAATTACTTAAAAATGGTACGATTTAGCCTACTTTACCCTATATACGTTCTTCTATTCCACATTAAATTGAATTAAGCTTATGTTTGTACAGGTCTTAAGTCTTTAGTTTTATAGGTACCCACGTGTACACATAAAATAATATATATATCTTGAAATTAGTATTTCAAATTAGCTCCCTTTTCTCTATCTAATTGACAATCTGAATCTGCCGCCTACCGATGACAAAAACGCTTTTATAAATCAGTAAATTTTTACCGATCTATCGTCGTCTCGCAAGCCATTCGATACGTCTAATGTCTATAAATTGCGTCTCGAACCGATAAATAGTACGTGCTTAAGCTTTCGTAATACCGGACTCCCGTAGCTTGGCGGTAATACACCCGAGAACAGATAATGAGAGTGAAACGGAGACTTGTCTCCGGCCGCCTGACTAGACCGCGTTACCAAACGCTAACCCGCTCTTGTGCTGCACTACATAAGTATTAGCACATTACTACATAAATATATATATAATTTAAACATTTTTGTTCATTAAGATAACCGGCAGTGATGCTATTCAAAAGTTATGAATTTCTTTTCCAAACTCGTAATTCACACCCCCACGTTGTTACTAATTATAATAAAATAAAAAGGGACATAATTGGTAAGGGGGCCAAGATGCCCAAAGGGCTGCGGCCTTTGGTAACAAGATATGATGCACTAATACTAACAAAATACTAACCAAAACCCTGTCGTGGAACACACTCTCGAAAAGCATAAAAGAAGTTGAACACGCATCTGAAAACAATAATTTTGCAGAAAATATTATAAGAAATTTATACCTATATATAGGTTAGTGATTGTACCAAAATCTAATATTGGTAAAAAACTTTTCTGAAAATTTAAAGTTTTGTTCCAATAAGATAACCGTGAGATTGGTGAAGCTATTCAAAAGTTACGAATTTCTTTTCCAAATTTTAACTCGTAATTAACCGTGAGGCTGAAAATTATTGTGAATAAAAAGTTGATCAAATAACTTCTTATGTTGTTACTAATTATAATAAAATAAAAAGGGACATAATTGGTAAAGGGGCCAAGATGCCCAGATGGCTATTGGACTGCGGCCTTTAGCTCAAATTGTAACAAGATATGATCCACTAATACTAACGAAAACCCTACCGTTCAATATAATATAAATACATGTAGAGATAATTTAGAATAGCATGAACCTTTACCAAAACTACGACGTTCCATGATTTGTACATTTCTACTCCTAAAAAAAAATTGACTTTCACTGTTTACAGTTTATTTTCAGCTTCATTCTTGTTTGTATTGTAAAGCTGATGATTAAGTAACAACAGACTCATTATTCTCATAATCTACAACAGAGCTGGGCAAACTCGGCTCTTTTGACTCCCGAGTGCTCCTCAAGGTTAACCAAGTAGCTCCTCATTGATCCTGCGAGTGCGAGTGAGATGATTCTTTCCTTTTCTTATCCCTTCCATTTCGTAGATGAGTCCCCTCTTCCATAGCCAAACCCAATAGTTTTGCGAACGTAGTAACGAAAATTTTCGTAGGNACAGTAATGTTTGATATGTGTGAGAAAAATCGGCTATGGACCCGAGATAAAAATGTTCAGTCTCTCAGAGTCTCTGAAAGCGAGACTCGAGTCTCTTTGGTTCCGCTGAGAGAGACTGTCAAAAAAACTGTTTGGCGTCTCTGAACGAGAGATTCGAGTAGCTCATAGAGAGATCCTCATTTCGTATCCAGTCTCTGAATGAGAGACTTGAATCTCTCAATAAGTGGCGTCTCGATAGACATGGTTCAAATCTTCTAAGTTCAACATATTTCAGAGATTCCAGTCTTTCAACGAGAGACTCGAGTCTCTCAATTTTTCAGATTTATTCATTCAGTCTCTCTGTGAGAGACTCGAATATCTGAATTAACAATTTTATCGTTCGAGTCTCTCATATAGAAACTGCGAGAGATCCATAAAAACACCTAGGCAATAACTGAGAGACTGTGAGAGACGCTCTCAGAGACGCTGAAAGACTCTGAGAGACTGAAAATTTTTGTCTAACGAAACGATAATAAGTTAGTGATTTCGGTAGGATTATAAGTTTAAAATATCTTTAATTGCCAAATCTCTGCTACAGATGCTCTTGCTTTTTTAGCTCGTTTCCGACATA